TTGGTGGAATGAGAGGTATGGAGTCAGGACTATCAGGTGGGTGTTGTTCGTCTAAACAACTCAGATTATGTATCAAGCCATCTAGTTCCGTGTTGTATTTTTTATGGAATAAAGTCGCAGTGATGATATTTACTCATCTTTGATGTGTCATTATATTTTCAATCGGTGGAAAGTTACAGCAGGTAATGAAAGAATGGGAGGAAGGAGTCGTAAAGGGGGTAGGGGTAGAGGGTGGAAGTGGTAGGGGGGGCTGCGCAAGCAGCAAAGCGAGCGTAAGCGAGCGTTAATTTCATTGAAATTGAATATACGTAGTTAAAATATTAATCGCTGGCTACGGTAGTTACCGGAACAACGTACTTCCGCAATGCTCGGATTTTGATCACATGACATGCAATTTGAGAGGCTGAAAATTAATTCCCTGCAACGCCTTGTCCACTGAAACACACAGCTCTTGCGAACGACAAACAACCGCCGTGTGCTGGAGGACTGGCAGCGCGCGCTCAGGGAGAGGGCCGTTATCGCGTCAAGCTGCAATCTGAGTGTCTACCTCAAAGACTAAGTAAAATGGTCTATTTCTTTACATCCAACGTCGTTTCGCCGCCCGCATTCATCTATGTCGGCAAGGACAAGACGGAGAGTAGGGACACCATTTCTCCGATGGCCATATATGGATTGGTATACGACAGTGCTGATATGGAGCAGATGAGGATCTCATAAAACATGGTCTGGAGTGCGATGTCTGGTAGCTATTATTTTTTGCCAACGTTAACTGTCCTCACTCGGCTTCGGAACACCGCTGATTGAGTTTATCTTTCTGTAGGGTGCGTAAAACTATCGTGTCTCCTGGAACAGAGAAACCCGAGCTCAAGAGCGCATCGTCTTATAATTATGTTCCTGAGATAGTTCCATGCCGACAATCTATCCAGTGCCCACGTTTATCTCCGGCTAAGAGACGGCGAGACATGGGACAATATCCCTGAAGATCTGCTTACGGACTGCGCGCAGCTCACAAAAGCAAACTCCATTGAAGGTTCGCTTCCGTTTGCTTTCTTGGCGTTGTTATATACCTGTAACTAAAGGATATCCGAGCATAGGAAATAAAAAGGACAATGTGACTATAATATACACGCCGTGGTCAAACCTACACAAAACTGCTGGCATGGCGATTGGCCAAGTAGGTTTCCACAACCCAAAACTCACGCGTAAGGTTCACGTCGCCGTCCGACAAAACCCCATTATCAATCGCCTTAACAAGACGCGCGTTGAGAAGTTCCCTGACCTACGCCAGGAGAAGGAGGAGTACTTGAGCAAAATTAGACGGGAAGAGCGGAAGCTGCGAGAGGAGAAGCGGGCTGCAGAGAAGCTGGAGAGGAAGCGGAGGGAGGAGCTGAAGTGGCAGAAAGACCATGCGTATGATGATTTTTTGAATGAGGAGAATATTCAACACAGCAGCAATCAAGATCGAGACCCGGACTTTTTGGATGATTTCATGTGACGGGGAAGGGGCCATTTTTTCCTTGATGAGCTAAGACTCTTTCTTCTCCCGGTACTCTCCATACGTCAAGTCTTCTCACAGCAGCTCTCTAGTTCACTAGCTTTGGGTTTATCCTTGGCTGATGCAGGCGTCCATCGCGAAGGTCAGATAAGATAAACGATTTGGGAACAGTACATCGTTATACGGAATTGTTTTTCAGCCTTGGCCGGGAGGTGTACGTGGCTTACCGAGGCCAATGAGACAAGATCATTTCGGATTTTTATTTAGAAGATGGTGATAAGACTCCGGTAATCCTGGAATTCTGTGGCGAATAAAGCTTCATATTCCCAATAGAAGGGAACATATCAGAAGGATGATTCTTATAAAGCTAGGCCATCTTTTTATTTTTATTTTTTATCGAGGACAATAACAAAACTCGATGTATAAATCCCCGCATGTTGGATTCCAAAACTTGATGCCCATCTTTGCCGCCCCAGGGAGCTAGATCCCATATATATAGCACTTGGCCTGGGGTTTAGTAGATCTTTTACATGCATGAATGTCTCAGAATTGATCCGGAATAAGAAGATTCCCGCATTTTCTTTGTGGATGATAGCCTAGCCAAAAGCAAATCCACAGCGCGGAAAGTAGAAGATAAACTCAAACCTGACCTGTGAAATGTCCGAACCCTATCCTAATATATAAAAACTAATAAGAGTACTACTGTTGTTGTTGAATATGAAGAGCTGCAGCAAGGTTGCCCAACATGCTGGAACCCTTTTGCCCGTCGTCTATGGGTTTATAACTAACTGGCACCGTCGCGAGATTACGTATTGAATCCAATCCAACCACCAACCCACGCTAACGAACACCTCTCCCGTTCCATAGAACCATATACAACCCCGACTCCCGTTCAAATTCAGCAGCAAAACGCGCAACCCGACGTATATATCGATTACACTAGGAGGGTTGAGAGTGTGCGAGAGAGGGTTTATTCGATTGGTGTTCCCCGCAGCACCTCTCACGAGGTAATACTGTCCCTCTTAAACGATGCCATCAGACACAACCTCCACGCCGGCGCCAGGTAAATTAATAACTTGATCTTCTTTTTATTATATTGGCCGTAACAAGCCAACGGATACATTTATTCAGAGAGGAATCTAACAGTATCATGCGAATTGCGCAGGAACGAGTGGGAAATCAAAGAAAAACAGCAGGAAGAAAGCAAATGCGAAAGCAAAGGCGAATGGCGGAACCGTCCCAAACACGTCTTCTTCAGACCAACAACGGCCACCCACACAATCCAACAGACAACAGGAGAAGTCGGGACAGGATCAGCATCCAACACCGGTATGTCTGCTACCTTGTCCACGCGGGAAGGAGGGGGGAATGGTCTGCTAAGGAGACACAGCATCTAACTTTGAAATTTTATCTAGGCTACTAAAGAAAACTTCGTGAACGGTTCCCAGGCTGTGGATTTGGATGATAACGATGGAGGAAAGGATAGGGAAGAGGAGCCGACGGTGGAGAGCGACAACGATGCGTCACCTCCCAACCCCGCATTCCCTTCCCTTGATTCCGACCCCAGATTCGAAGCGCTGGTGCGGGATCGCGATTCCCTCCGTGCGGAAGTAGCTGAGATGCGTATATCACTCGAAAAGATACAGTCTAAGCACGATGAGGAGATGGTGGCTTTACAGGGCCAACTGAAACAGTCACAGAGCGACAAAGAGCATGCGGAGACACAGTTTCGGAATTTGTTGGGCAAGGTTAATACGATTAAGTCGCAGTTAGGGGAGAGGTTGAAGGCTGATGCTGTACGTCTCTCTGCTTGTTTAGGGCGTGCTCCTTTTACAATTGCGGCTTTTTGAGATGGTTGCTTTTTTGACCAATTTGTTAACACATGAGTCTACAGGAGGAATTAGAGCAGACGAGGAATAGGATAGAGGAGCTCGAGGGCGAAAATGCCACGCTGCAAACGGAAGTAGGGTCGAAATCGGCTACTATCAAATCATTGGAGAAGGAACGGGAACAACAATCCAAGGAGCTTTCCAGCTTGCGAAATAGGACGAATTTATCGCAGCAAAATTGGGTGAAGGAGAGGGAAGAATTGCTGGAACAAGAAGCATATGCGCGCTCGGAATTCGAGGAGGCAAAGCAGGCCATGCACAACTGGGAGATTCTCGCAATGGAGGAGCGATCTATTCGAGAAAGCCTGGAAGAGAAAGTGGTAGACCTGGAGGAGCAGCTTGTCACCTTGAAAAGCGAGTATGAGAAGGCTTCTTCTGAACGTGATGCACAATCGGTGACCGTGGACGGGCTTCAGAGGGCGCTTCAGGAAATTCAAACCGGTGAGGACCTTTTCAAAAAACTTCTGTAGTGTCTATCGCCCAGTGCTAATATCATTTTGCTTTTTCCCTCCATAGCACGAAAACAGGAGCTACGAGAGATCGTGGAAAGCTCGGATGCGCAGCTGGAGGAGCACCGTAAGAAGGTGCAGGAGGCTGAGAAGAACGCCACGGAAGCCATTGCCAAGTTGGAAGCGGCGGAGGCGGAGTTGAAACGGGCTCTACCGTTTGAGAAAGAAGTCAAGGAGAAGAATCTGCTGATTGGCAAGTTGCGTCACGAAGCGGTTACGCTGAATGAACACCTCACCAAAGCTCTAAGATTCCTGAAGCGGGGGAAGCCGGAGGATAATGTGGATAGGTTGGTGCTTTCTCAATTTTCGTTATGTTGGACTGCCCAATAGCTAACTAGAATAATCAGACACCTCGTCACCAACCACTTCCTCCATTTCCTGGCGCTAGATCGATCAGATCCGAAGAAGTTTCAGGTCCTACAGCTCATATCAGCGTTGCTGGGATGGACGGATGGTATGTCACGCCCCCTGGCTGTATCTTTTTTTCAAGGCATATTCTTTAGGTTAGAAGGGCAAACCACTAACTAACACCTTTCTTCGGAATGATCCAGAACAACGAGAGCAAGCTGGTCTTGCCCGCCCAGGAACCTCAAGTGGATTCAGCAGTAGTTTACGCATTCCCAGCACGTCCTCACTCCTATCGAGGACACCAAGTTCGCCGGCCCTTGCGTCTGACTTTTTCACGGAGAATGGAAGTACACGCAAAGAATCACTGGCAGAACTCTGGTCGAATTTCCTGGAGCAGGAGGCGGCACAGAAGAAGGAGTCGAAGTCACGAAGTCAATCGGATGCACCGCCAACCTCTCCTACTCCATGATATATCCATATATATATATATATATATATATATGTACTACATTTCTATTTTTCATATTATATTTTCCTTCCATTTTTTTATGTCGATGCGCTCTTATTTTTCTTTCCTTTTTCTTTCCTTTTTCTTTCTCCCTTTTTTATCCCTTGGTGACTGTTAACTAGATCCATGTTCCTTGTTACCATAATAACTCCCCAACGAGCCAGAGCCCTTTTTTCTTTTATGTCTCTGAGTTTCTTCTCTTCCTCACAACGTTGTTAATCCCATTTATGTTCAAGGTGAACATTCTACAACCAACCGAGATATGGGCAGTTCTCATCTTATTTTTAAAACAAGCACTTGTGGAACACCTCATAAATTACTAGTGTAGATAAATACCTGTATATAAATCAGTATGACTCAAGCATCTAACTCGTAGTACGGAGTATGACCATTTACAATAATATGATATGCCACATAATTTAAGAGCTCGGCGTACCTGGTGCCAAGGATCGAGCATAAAACCCTAAATTTGGCAGCAGAAAAGCCGGGGCGCAATATAAAATGTTTTCCCCCGACACCATCACCACCACCACGAGACACTCGTCGCCTCATCGTTCCTTCATATATTTCCAATGGCTGCCTCTGCTGGTAGGTACTCCCCCGCCTCGAAAGCTCTGCTAGACCCGCCCTCCTAACAGACTGGGATACCAAAAAAAAAAAGCAGCTGTGCGCAGATTCCGCCCTGTAGTGATATCCGGGCCCTCAGGCACCGGAAAATCAACGTTGATAAAAAGACTCTTCGCCGATTACCCGGATACCTTTGCGCTTTCGGTTTCTCGTCAGTAACAGCCTCCCCTACCACCTTCTCTCCTGCCCTTCCTTGTCTCCCTCTACATTAAAAAACAACCGCTCCTCTAACCCGCACACAACCCAAATAGATACAACCAGAGCACCCCGCCCCGGCGAACAAGACGGGCGCGAATACTACTTCACAACGCGCGATGCCTTCCAATCCCTCATCGACGAAGGAGGGTTCATCGAGTGGGCGCAATTCAGCGGCAATTACTATGGCACCAGCACCAAGGCGGTGAGGGACGTGGCGGAGAAGAAGCGCATTTGCATTCTGGATATTGAGATGGAGGTACGGATATACATACCCTTTCCCCCGACAAACCAAAATAATCTCCCCCAACTAAACCCCCCAACCTAAACAGGGCGTCAAACAAGTAAAACGCACCACCCTAAACGCCCGCTTCCTCTTCCTCGCCCCGCCCTCCCTCGAAACGCTCGAGCAGCGCCTACGAAACCGCGGCACGGAGACGGAGGAGAGCCTGAGCAGCCGTCTGGCGCAGGCGAAGAACGAACTCGAGTATGCCAAGCAGCCCGGGGCGCATGACGTGGTGATTGTCAATGATGAGTTGGAGACGGCGTATAAGGCGTTGCGGGACTGGGTGGTTGATGGGGGGAAGTTTGGGGCGTTGGAGTGAACGAATGGGACATATATATATATTGAATGGATAAGAGTGTATGGGAAGGCGTTAGTGTTGTTTTGGCTTTTTGTGAGAGGTGAATGGTGATGGAGTGAGAGTGAGAGTGGAAAGGGGGACTTCTGCTGGTTATTATTATATATACCATGTTTTTGTTTCAGCACTTTCATTTGGTATCCCAGCTGTTACAGCATTTGACACCTCTACATGATATGTGCAGAGTTGTATTTATTTATGCTTTCTGCCATGTATCTATGTATCTTATATTTCATTTTGTTTCTTTTGTGTCTCTTTTTCTTCTTAAAATACTTCTTATAGAGTTAGACAGTGTTTTATTTATCTTCTTATTTTCTTTCTCAAATGATCAGATATAGACAGATAGAGAAAAACATAATATAATAAATATAAGTCAATATAAATCTATGTAAGAATAAGTGCTTACAGATAATTTTTCAGAGATATGCAGCTTAATGTGATATATACTGATAATTAGACTGGCTGCCAGAATCATGAATTTCACATTTAATCTCATTTGATCTGATCTTATACATTTCTTAGCATGAATCTCACTGAGACTGGCTATTAAAAAAACATGTAAAGTGACTATATATCAGATCTTAAAATGAAATCATGACTTGAAAAAAATAAGAAAATAATCTCATTTAATCTCATTTAGTTTCATTCTTAATATAAAGTTACTATTTTTAGACATTTTAAGATTTTTTTTAGACTATTTTTAATTTTTTAAAAAGTAATGCTTTTTAATAATATTTAAATAAGATTTAAAGTTATTTAAAGTAATAAAAATAATTTAAATTAAGAAGTGAAAATTATAATCTTATTTAAAAAATGTAATAAGAGTAGATAGTAAGTCTTACTGAGATAGTATAAGATTACTATTTAATGTTAAAACTGTGTAATAAAATCAGTTAAATTAATAATAAAATTATTAAAAAATCTAGTTCTGATCTCAGACACAGTTACACAGTCAGTCTACTAATAATTATTAAAAGTATTTATAGTAGAAAAATATATATAAAGATTAAATATATAATAATATTCAAGCTAAGTTATAAATAATAATTATAAACTTCTGTTTATATAAATTATATATAGTTAAAAACTACTGTGGTTCAGAAGAACATACAACTGTCAGATAATAACACAGCTGCTTCCGAACTACTAGTATACGTGTACAAGTGTAAAGAAGAGGGTTATAGCAGCTGCTAATTAATTTAACATATAATATTACAATATATAAGAAGCTGGTATACATCTGTAATTATATACTGACTTAAGCAATCTTTAAATCACATCTGATAGCATGTTTAAAAACTAGTGAGAAGTGCAGACTTCTTCAGAGTATGATAATTCTGTCTATAAAGTAATTTATAGTTATCATGTCAGTATAATTCTAGAACATCTCAAAAGATAGTGTATAAAGAGTAATGAGTAGAACAGTATCTGATTAATACTACTTCACTTGTTAAGAAAAAACTTCACACTCAGATAAATATCATGTATATGAATAGATGAGATGTGAGAAAAAGAATGAGAGTAGTGAATCAGATTCAAAGAAGATCACTCTTCACTTAAAGAAATAAAAGAGAGAGATAGTTATCACTGAAGTTATACAATAATAACAGAAATTAAATAATGATACAGTGATATAATAATAGACATTATATAATTAATGAAAAATCACTGAAATAAATATCTTCTTTAGTTAATATGAATAATACTCTTCTCTGCTATCTGAACTGAAAGATATACAGAATCTTCTAGAGAGTTTACTTAAAGTAGTAAGAAAAATAACTAAGACTGCTGAATCGGAATTGAAGCTCTGTATATATATAAGAATTCTAAACAAGATTGAGATCTTGCATATACAGTGACAGGCTAAGACAGAAGTTAAATAACAATTGATATTCACTGTAAATCAAGTATTCACTATAAAGAGCTTCACTGATATAATTATTATTATTAATAAGAATAGAGAAAATCAGATCTTAGATCTGCAGTAAGAGATTAAATATTTATATAGATAGATAACTATATTAAATCTGAAGATCTTATCACAATTATTTACAATCTCTTCAGAAGTATATACACTATCAGAGATCACTGTACAGAATAAGAATCTGAGTATGAAATATATTAAGCTGAGAGATTTGTCAGAGTTACTAAGCTTTAATAGTAACTGAAAAAATAATGCTGTAATCAGCTGACTAAGTCAGATATAATTATATTATTGAATTGAATATAAACTTATAGACAGATAGTTAATAAAATGTCAACAAGTCTTAAGATCTGTTACATTTCTATATAGAAAAGTAAAGTCATTATAAATAACTGATAAAAAGATAAATCTTACAAATCTGAAGTGATATTCATTTCTATGAATATAAAATGAGTTTTTCAAATGAATCTTACATAACTTTGAGAAAGTGAATATATAAGATAAATGTTACAAACACTTCACTAAGTGTAGATAAGTGAGTAATCTTATATTATACTTTATATACTTCAGCTTATACTATCTTATATTGAATGAAGAACTTTTAATATCTTTCTATTTACAGATCTTTATTCATAGTCTTACATCTGAGTTAAGAGTGAAATGAAAATACTTAATGTTATAATCAGATATAATGAAAGAAGTATATAATATTCTCATTGTATGAGAATAAGTAAGTCAATTATAATAGAAAATACTGTAATTAAGTATATCTCAGTGAAGAATAGATAATCAGACTTCTATAATACAAGTCATACACTCAGATATGATGAATCTAGATCTGAATACTATTACTAAAGTACTGAATTCTCTGAAAAAGAGATTCTCTGAGTAAAAATCTTAATATTATAAGTATTGAGCTTGCTTCAACTGCAGATGTTAAAATCATGATATAAAAGATTACACTCAGTGTGTGTAGTCAAGAGAAGTAAGAAAGTTAAAAAACTAGCAGAATCAATAAGCTCAGAGATACTTACTGATATTCTATAAAAAGTCTTCAAAGTGAAAGAGATGCTTATATTAGATAACTTTCTAAATAATATATGTGTAAAGAAGAAGCAGACTTCTGAATAAAGTACAGATGAGAATGATGAAGTGAATACTTATCTCAATGTCTTAAAATCTGAAATGTTAATGTATAGAGAACACTTGAGTAAGAATTAAAAGATAGCTGTAAAAGTGTTAGTGAATACAGAAGCTTCTACACAATATATTAATAATTATATAATTCAAAGATTGAAAGAGATCTGCTGAGTGAAGAATCTTTGATGTATAAGATTATCTGATAACTAATATTTAATATTATCTACAAGAGTAAGAGTTCTCTTACACTTTGAAAAATGATCTTGCTATATTTAAGTGTGAGAGCTGCAGAATATGAAATACAATCTTATTCTCAGACTCAATTAGTTTCAAAGATTCAATTCACAGATTCAATGATGTACATATCATATATAGTTGACTAATAGAAAGAAAACAGTTCATACAATTCTATCAACTGATATGAGAAGAACATT